CACCCACACCCACACCCACACCCATACTTCCTCTCTTATCGATGATTAACAGTCATTCAAAATTGAATATGTGTATACCCCACCCTTCGATAGCTTAATGATCAGCGCACGGGTGCGAAAGAAGCACTGCCAGGCTTGGGTTCGATTCTCTGTGACGCATATTGTTTTTTTTCCTATTTGCTCATCGGAAGAGAAAGGAAGTATAAAATATTTTTGTATAGAAAGGTAGACTTATAAATAAGCAGAATTTTTCACTATTTCTCACAATAAAAAGCACTAGCGAAAACAATAAAATGTCGATTACTTGCACTCTATCTCTTGTACTCGCTTTATTCATTTGCAATGATCATGCTGTTCCAGTCGATATTATCGCGAACGACGAAAATTTACCTCTTGCTGCATCAGATCCAAGCTTTGCTACAGCCATTGTTAATACACAAATATTAACAATATTGGATTATCATGGTGCACAAGTGTATATCTACAGTGCACTGTCAAACGAGAATGACAATAAATTAACACCACAAAAATGGCTATTCTATTTTGTGCCAATCATGGCTCCAACACAAGACAGTAATGATTCATGGATATGGCTTGTAAATAACGAAATACGTTTAAAACTAATGCTGGGTAATCAAAATGTAGAAGAACTAGCTCGTAAAGCCATTATTAACAAATATGATTTAAGTATAACACAATATTCAAAATATTGGACTGTAGCACCATTAATAATTGACTCGTTGATGGCATATATTGTCGATGGTGCAACGTTACCAGTTGCTGGTGTTCATCCTTATCGAGTCGTACATCCAAATTCACTCGTTTTAACATTTCGATTTCAATGTTCAGAAAATGGAACTGCTCGACAAATTATAGAAAAAATAAAAAATGGTGATTATGAAATTGAACTTGCATTTTACTTTGCTGGCTTTAGACAAATATCGACAAATTTAATATCAATTACAAGTGATCAGTTAAAAAATGTTTTGAGTAAGACAATAGCTGATGGCGCCAACGCAAATGCACAATATATACATCGTAATCAGGCATCCAAATTCGTTGGAAATTATGTTACGAATGTCAAAAAAATGATTTATATGGAAAATACAAACACGAATCTTTCCTTGTTGACAAATGGACTTGAAGAACAGTTTATTTCATTGTTACAACAAGGTGAGTAATTTGACGCACTTTTCATCCTTTTTCGGTTTATAAAACTGATTGTCTTTTTGTTCCTCAGGAATGGATGCATCTAAACAAACAACGATCGATGCAGCCTTATTCGATCAAGTCTGGTCTTCATCAGATCTGAATCCTGATCGTTTAACATCTGAATTGAGTAAACTATTTACTTACAATGATACGGAAACTAAACGTCATAATTATACAAATACATATTTTGATTTGAATAAACAACATTTACAAACATCAAGCAGCAGTGGCTCATCTAATGGAGGAGGTGGCTTTACATTCTTGGGTCTGGTTACTATGGGTGGTTCAGGTAGTTCTTCTTCATCATCATCGAATACCTTGCAAGACATCTTAATGCAAACGAATCATGATATTTATTCCTTAACTGATATACAACGCTTTTTAAAGCAACAACAATCAGAATTTCAATGGAATGGTGAAAAGTTCATTCCCAAATCATTCAATGTGTACAAACTGGTTGACTTGACAGATCGTTTACAAGTTGCAATTATATCGAAGCAATTAATTGCAGACAAAAGAAACGGCGCCCTTGTACGACAAGTCAGTGCTGCTAATACTCCAATTATATATGCAAACAAACCATCAACGTTTCTAACTGGCACCGTACAGATCTTCGCAGGTGCAACAACTCCACCACTTCCCTGGCTCCTATGTGACGGAGCAGCTGTTTCACGAGTCGAATATCAACGGCTGTTTTCTGTTATTGGCACAAACTATGGAGCCGGTGACAATACGACAACGTTCAACCTGCCCGATCTTCGAGGACGATTTCCTTTAGGAGTTGATCAATCAGGCACAGTTAATACAAATGCTCACAAAATTGGGTTATTCGGAGGAGTTAATACTCAACAGCTCACAGTGGAACAACTTCCACCCCATAAACACGATCAAGGCACTTACGCTGCCGTAGCAGCCGGAAGTCATTCACATTCCATTATGGATCCTGGACATAATCACGGAGGTCAGACAGGTAGCAGCCCTTATTCACAAGGACATTGGGGATTGCATGGGAATGGAATTGGAAATGGAATTGGAAATCACGGGGGATCACATACACATTCGATTGAATTGGACTATACACGTATAACTATTAATTCAGCTGATAGTCATACTCATTCAGTTGGTGGTGAATCAGGCTCTGTGGGTAGTGGTAATCCATTCAGTTTATTATCACCTTATCAAACATTGAATTATGTAATCTACAGTGATTGATTTTGATAGATTACCATAATGTGGAACAAAGCGACATATTTTGCTTCGCTTAATTATCCAAGAAAACTGGTCCTTTGTTTGTCCATTCATATATAAAGCTAGAGTCTCCTGTTATGCTTTCTTTTTTCTTTTACCAAATAAACTGGCATCCCGCTCCGCCTCTTTTCCCCTCCTTTTCCTCTTTTCTTTTAAAATTCCTCTTTTTACCCTCTTTTTTCAGAAACATCCTCTTTTTCCTCTTTTCTCACGAAAAAGTAGCTTGTTGGCGAAAAATCCATGAATATATTGATTAATATTACCATATCATACGAAAAGATCACATAATACAAGCTGATGTGCCGATCAGTCGAGGTGTATAGCTAAGGAGGCTAAATTATATGATTTTATTGATCAACTTCAGCGATGTTATATATTCCTAATTGGAACCCAATTTTTATAGCTCTCTAGTGGAGGCAAAATCACTCAATTATATTTCCAATGTGAACTCATCATTCTCTCACAATCTTGGCAAATGTTTCTGGTAAAGATTGACATGTAAAATGATAATACCGGCTTACTTTTCTTGACCATTTTTCTCAGCCCCAGGGAAGCTTGTGATATGAATCTAACAATAGATAGCTAACTCGTAGCGTAACGCATGTGTTAAAATGAGAAGAAGTTTCCAGGGTGGCTGGATCTATCCTAGAATCCTGTCAGATTCGATAGGATTTCTTCGACAAGATAACTTCTGATAGTATGATATCATAAGTTGAAGATTTCTGCTTACCAGATACCGATAAAAGTTTTCATGTTATATCCGCCAATATCAAACTTCAAAATTACTGGGTTGATTATAGATGCCATGGTATGTTGCTAGATTACCTTACGCTATTGATTTACTATCAAAATGAAGTAATCCCTCTCCTTCCGATTTTCTCCGTATACAATTACATTTTGGACGATCGTATATCTCTAAACCGTGCACGGAGAAATGTAATTGTATACGAAGAAATACAGAGTAAAACGAAAGCCGTTGACGAACTTTGTTTGTCCATAAACAATCGTATTTCTGCGCATACAATCGCGGATTTATACGATCGCAATACTGGGCGATGTGAAACGCCGTAGTTCTCCGATTACAAGCGTGTTTGCTTGACATGGATTAATATTGACAACAGTTTGATGATACTTGGAAGAAATTGGATATGATGGAATGTGATAGCAACAAACAGGGGCGCCCCACTGACCAAAAAGCAGAGGATCATACAATCTACCCAATACAAATAAGTCGTTTTCTACAGAATGCAGGAAGATGACCATATTTCACTGGGAAAAATCAAGCGTTTTCGATAGCATGGGGTCAAACAATTTCTCACAAACCCGCTGTCTGAGCACCATTGCAACCAATGTATTGATTTACGCTAGGAAATGGAAAAGTGGAACTGACTTGCAAAAAATGATCAAAATTATGGAAGAATTGCTGAAAATTGAAAGAAACGAAAAAATATCATTCTCACATGCACAGTCATCCGAAAGAAGGGACAAAAAGCAGAGAAAAAAACATTTAATGAATTCTGATCGTTTCTATTTCTGTGTGCCTACTTAGTCAGATAGAGTAATATTATAGTCAGATACTACGCAAATAGAATAGACTATTTTTCTAATGTTTTTCCGTTTTCTAATGCACATATAAGCAATTGCACAAAAATCTCTATGAACAATTGGAAGTTTCGTTTCTTTTTTACTCTTTCAAGTCATATTCAACCTATATTGATAACGTACGAGTTTTGTCGGATTTATAGTACTATTGTGCCAGTGAGTTTTAGTTTTCTTCGAATGAAAAACTGTATGCCTCTTTTTCTCCTCTTTTTTATTAAAAATCCTCTTTTTTCAAAGAACGCTGAGCCTCTTTTTTCCTCTTTTTTTACAAAGTGTTGGTGGGATGCCAGTATAAAAGCCATGGCATTTTTTTTTGATTTTGTAAGGCTCCGGTTATTCTTCTAGTGGCAGAGCCAGGATTTTCCAGTAGACTATATCTCAGATTCAGGGCATGAGACAAGGGGGGAACAGCTAAAATCAGATTTTTTTGATTTTTTTGATTTTTCTGATTTTTCTGATTTTTTTGATTTTTTTGATTTTTTTTCGCGATTTTTTTGATTTAAAATCAAAAATCACGTGATCGTTTTGATTAAGAAAACATTGCGTTTTATAGCGTTTTATTTGTAATTCAAACGAAATATCGTTTATCCATCGCAACATCTACTATATATAGATTTTCCAATTAAGAAACGTCTTTTCTGTTGGTATACATTTGAAATACAAAGGAGCTATATCATATCAGAGATCTAGCGCCCTAAAAAACTTCGCTTAATCTGAGGAGAAGGAGAGTTATCATTAACCTCTTATTGCTTTTGATAGTCTTTTTCATTTATCACAAGTGAGTTTTTAATCATCTGGGCTCTGCTTCAGGCGAATAAATTTTTTATAGTTGTTCTATTAGAAATCTATGTAGTCTGATGAGGCTAGATACACTGACCAGAAATATTGCACCTTTTTAAAGTGCTAAATATAGTCAGAAAAATCTGAAGCGCTGTCTGGAAACTCTAAAAAAGCAAATTTTCACCTCAAATCAGAGACCCTGATAGGCCACTACACCTGTCCAACTACTATAGTTTCATGAAGTTTTTACTGAGAAAGTCCATTTTTTACCAGAAAGAGAATGCATCACACTGTAATTTAGAAAATATTTGCCAGGGAAGATGAGAAATGGGTTTTTTAATTAAAAGTCTTCACATACAATCTTGACTATTGATGGATTGTCGCTGCATTCCATCTAGCCTATTGTATGTATTAAATTTATTCACTTGGGGACGTTACTCTTCGCAGATTTGCTTTCATTATGATTAAAGGTTTTTATAGAAAGCGTTTAAGAAGTTTTATGTTACTGATTTATATTTATACAGTTGTAATATGGCTGAATCCAGTACTTGATAGATCCTCTTGAGAACGTTGATTAAATGAATTCCATAGATTATCGTCCAAAAAATAGAGTTTCTCTCATATGTTAATATTGGTTGGCTCTAGTCAGCAGCCACATAGTAGAGTAAATCATTAGATTTTCTGATTAATCATGATATTTTGATATCAGTAACTTCTTTCTCTGATAAAGATAGCTTTCTACCAGAGATGGGACCAGTTTGATTCAGTTCTTTTTAAAAAAGAATTCAGTCCAGTTAGGTTTAAGTTTTGAAAAGCCTGAACTTATCCTATTTCTGTTCTCTACTTCTATTGAAGTCTTCTCATAATATTCACACGAAAAATGCAGTGGAAATATCTTAACACATAGCTAGGCCAGATCGATAAAAACAAACAGCAGGCATAGGCAACTGGAAGAGGTTCATACGCTCTCTAGAGCAGTCAAAGTTTATGAAAACTGGACTGCTTAGGTCTCTGCAACATAGATTATTAAAAGCAGAACTAGATTTGTTGACAATACGTTCGGATAAAGCAGAATGTTTTTTTCCATCACAATTTACTACAATATCCTAAACATTTGATGCTTTGTCTATCGATAAATGTCAAATACCCCCCTCCCTTCCAGTCGAATTCTCCTATGCCTAGTAAAGTATTTTTGGATTATTATGAAGTTAAAGTTTCTACGATTATTTAGGCTCCATATTTTTACGAAATATACCATTCTATCTGCAGCTTTATTGATGTCATTTTCTACTTAGAATTAAGTATCTAGTTAAGGACTTTGGCTCAAATCAAGGTATATGATTGCTAGCTTTATACTTTTTCGACTAATATTCGACTATCTTCAGATATGAATTGCCTCCATTTAATTTAAATAAAGAACATGTTTTAAATTGGCATCCTGAGCTCCCATATGCCATCAGGTGTTTAGAATTTTCTCATTAGTCGCACTCATATTTGCATCAACATTGCTAAATTACGGAGGATATCAAGAGTATATCTTCAAGCTGCGCAAGATTTATATCACCTTTATAAAGGCATTTGGTTACGACGATCTAAATGGAAGAAAAAAAAGTACTGACTACTAGAGACATCATTACTTGTCCAAAGAGTTCCAAAGGTTACACATAAAACTCCCAAAAACTTTCCTGAATTAAAATTCTCTTTTATCATTTGTCATATTCGGTACTTCAGGTAACATGTTCATATACTTATCCGACAAAACCTTTTCATCAAAACTCGATTTTCTGACAGGGCCTTCATAAAATCCATTTCTCTTTATTTATTGAAGGAGTCTATGGGTAAACATCAAGAGAGACTAGAAGTCGCACAAGCTATTTAAATACACTTATCGATTGAGTTTTCGTCGTTGCTTTGAAATACCCCTATTTTGAAATCAAATGGAATTATCTCTACCTGAAAATCATCGAATATTATTCGAAAAAGTTATAACTTAACAATCGCATATCTTGGTTAGGGTAAGAATTCTATACTAAATATAGAATTTAAAGTTAAAAATAGTGCCAAAAAAGTGCAGATCACATTGTAGCCATAGAAAAGACTGTTCAAAAAAAAGCCTAGTCTCATAATAATCGAAAAACGGATTTTTAGATATAATACAACCCAAGTGGGGCGATATTTGCCATTTATCGAAAGAAAAAGCCTTTGATGTCTGAGATATTCTTGTAGATCCTAATGGAGAGAAACATTCTGCATCATATGGACCTTTTGTAGATCAATTCAAGGCGCCTTTAAATGGGCTTCCAACTAAAAAACTGTTTTTCAACAACTTCACAAATCGCTTCAGATATTTCTGATTATCTAAGCAACTCAAAAAAACATTAAAGGAGGGATCGATACACTTAACCCTATCGAACTTTATGGATTTCTAATGGGATGGCGACAAAAACATTTTCTTCGTTCCGAAGGCGGCCAAAGCGTCTTAAATTTAGACGTGACAAAATGTACGATAAACTTATCGAAAATAATCAAAGTCCAAAGTTAGTTCTCATTCGAACCGAATTAGGTTATGATTTTTGAGACTCTAGAGGCCTGGTCTGATTCAATTCTTTTCGGTAGTTGTATTATGTAGTCAAATAATAAGTATTTTGAAAAACAGAGATTGAAAACTCTTGATTTTGAACCATTTTTCTTTGATTTTTCTGATGTTTTTGATTTTTCTGATTTTTTCGATTTTTTTTTCTGATTTAAATCAAAAAAATCAGCTTTTTCCCCCTTGGTTCGAATGCATACTTACACATTCCATTCTGCTCACATTCTTATTTATTATGTATTCATTGAATCTGTATTTCGTTGTTTCTTTATATAATTTACTGAAATTTTGTTATTAAAATATGAAAAAATATCCAGTTCAGACTGAAGGTAATCAAGGGAAACTAACTTATGCACTAGCTAAAAGAATTAGGGGATCTGGTTAAACATTTCTCTATACAATTTGTTGAGAATAATGCACAATGAAACTGAATTAAGAAAGTTCAAACGGTTATCATAGTGTTTATTATGTGGCTTTATGTAAACAGAAAACAAAATTTCCCTTGGTTCATGGTGTATTTTCTTTTATTTTATCGGCATTTTCTTTCTGAATTTCAATGGATCGCATATAAACTAAAATTTCTGCTCTTTATATGAGAAGTTGTACCATGGAGGTATTGACAAGATCATAAAAATCGTTCATTATTTTTTTCTCTCTTTCCGCCTCTCTCTCACGCATACATCGAGAGAGTTTCCCTTCAGGTACTTTTTAAGTTTTTATCAAAGGCACCTTGAAAAGAAAATGAACAATATTTAATTTTTCAAACCCATTTGTTCACTATTGTTTCAATCGGCGTGCTATAATAAAAATAACAGAAATCTGTTTTCTCTTAAGAAATGTATATTTTTCTAAATATGAATTTCATACCGCTCTAAAACTTCTTCTACAATTTGCTCAATAGAGAACGTCTTATTCATATTTATTATGGGAACCGTATTGCAGATAGTTTGTTTCCTTTTTTTTTATGTGGCCATTAGAGTCCTGCGGGAACGACTTTTTTGAGTTCCCATTCCTGTAGGAAAAATGTTTGTTTCCGATCCCGTTTCCGTAAGGCGTTCAGAAGCCCGAGTGGTATTTCATTTTTTTATATTTTAAAAAACTATCGTTGTCTGATATTAGTTTCTCACAGCATTACGTTTTTCAGAATGTAACACAGGTTATAGTAGGCCACACCGAAATTGAAGTTATTTATTGTCGATGCTATCAAACTGCAATTTGTTTTGATTCATATTCTGAGGGTGTAGTTGTTTTCTAATACCATTAGATAAGTTACACGCTGATAAAAGAAATAAAGACTGAATTCACACGATACGTTGGAGATCAGATAAAAGTCGGAAAAGGTGTGAATGTTTCTATATATTGAAACAATAGTAAATAGTTAACTCTATACTGTCTGCAATAGCTCAACGAATGCCATATATTTCGGCAATTAATATTTTAAAAACACTCTTTTTTGAGCAGTGGATATGCAACAAGAAGTCGTCATGCACGTTTGAATAGAAGTAAAATAAATCAGCTATTATTTAGAAATTGATATTTATCAACCTCAAGAGAACTATTTCCACAATCAACTGAGTAATTAAGAAAAAGAATAAATAGTTGCACATTGATGACACCAATGAGACAAGCAAAAATTTCAAAAGAAAAAGATGATTTTAATGTTTTGTAAGATAACCTTGATAATCGTGCTTTTGATGATGAATACAAAGAAGCTAATCGTTGTCATAATGTAAGATATAGTAAAAAACGAATGCATTTTCAAAATTTTGTTGATAAATATCTGCTTTTTTTTGGTTATTATATACAAGTAACGCTCGTCGCTTCGACTCGCTTAGCCCTCGACTGAAGAGTCAAATTTATTAACATATCATTTTATTTCATTTCTCTGAGGTAACTTATGGTAGGCATCAGATGTAACTGAGTATACGTATTATAATATTATGATCCTAATCTGTAATAGAATAGTTAACTTAGAATTTTAATTATTCTCAGAATTAAAATTGCCAGTTTTCTCGACTGCTTATAGAGCTAAGTGTTTTCAGAAATAGTGCCGTGAAATTCTCTCTGATGTAGTATAATAGTTAGAAAAATGCATTTACTTGTTCCGTGGCTGATAATATAAGCAAAGATTAATCTTTTAATGAAAATTTATCAAGAAAAATAAATAATAGGTACACTCATCTGCATCATATTATTACGTCTTTTCGCGACATTAATAGTAGTCTACTATTTCATGCACTGGCAACAATATCAGATATATTGCTTTCAATTGCTAGTTATCACTCATATATATGATCAACTTATCAACCATACAGATCAATCAGAATATTTGTATATCTTACATAAAATGAGTGAGTGTGATAGCAATCATCGCTGAACCTTGAATGAATGCCTTTTCCGTCAAATTTATGCACTATTAAACAATCGAGATTAATGATATTTAAAGTTCTATAAGCAACTACACGATATAAATATATTTTGTTTGCATTTACAACTATAGCAAACAGAAAAAGAGATATCTATATCTAATAAATATCATATCGAACTACAATCATAACAAAGAACAACAACGCTAATCTATGCACAACATTAATATAGAAAAAAACAATATTTAAACGCATATGACACAGAAAAAGCCCTTAAGAACAGTATTTACAGCAATAACAAATACAAATAAAAAAAACCAGTTTCCATGCAATACAAAAAATCATTGAAACCAATGAGAAAAACGTTTTTGAGTTTCTAAATACAGTTGATCCAGTCTTTCCATTTCGGTGACTTGAGATTTGCTTGGTTTAATTAGTAACACCTTGAAATCAAATTGTCGTAAGATGATTAGATCGGCCAAACGTTTTACACGAGATAATGGTACATAAACTGCGGCAATATCTTCAGTTTCATTTGGTAATTTAAGATCGATCACAACTTTATTCAATGTTTGGCCTTGACTCTTGTGTGTTGTAATGCAATAAGCAGGTACCAATGGTAATGCTCGACGTTTAATGGATAGAATTGCTTTTCTATTTGATTTTGGTTTCTTGTCTTTTGGAAGAATATCAGAAATGTCTACCCGAAATGTTTGTTCCATTACTGGTATTGGGATAAGTTTTGGTTGAAGTTCTTCAAGATTGGA